ATCAAGATCGGTTCACATAGTTTGTACCATATGGTTGGTTTCTATTTGAACCAGCCCCTATATATATATTACAATCCATCCTTAACATTGTTAACTCTGATTGAATTGCATGCAACTTAAAAACCATTGAAGCCTTTGAGACATGATTGGAGTTTGCTAGCAGAACCTTCGTAATGCTAATGCATGAACACTCTTCGGCAAATATAGAGGCAATTCTTTATAAATTCCTTCATCTTTCGTGAATATAACATGTTATTGGATCATAAATCTTTATCTTTATATATATAAAAGGAAAACCTTGAGCTATTGAGGTGACACCCTCAGAATTGAGTATTCTTAAATAATGAATTGTGGTTGAGTTTTAGTTATCCCCACATTGATTAATAGTTGAAAGATTTGAGCAAAGTGAATTGTATAATAAAGGTGGATATGGATGTTTTTTTTGTCAATCATGGGGTTTACCTTATGGTATTGTCTTATTTTGGATGAACCTCTTTGAAATCTTTAACCATTGTTGGAACCAAAACCAATCAAATAATAAAAATTATAGTGGAAAATTGGAAATGAAACCAAGGATGATGACTTGCAACATGAGGTTTGAGTGTTTTCTGAAGTATTGAAATAACGTTAACTTTCATCATCTCATATTGGTGGAAAAATGATAGTTTGGAAGAGGGTGATGAATGTATAAAAGCGTAACGAACGCTTTGAAATTTATAATCATTGTTGAAATCAAAACCAACCAATTGGTAAAATTATACTGCAAGATGAATGCAAATGATACCTTTTTTTCTTAACAAGAGTTGTGATAACTGCAGTACTTATAATAACAAATGTAGTTTAAATGTTGGACGTGACGTAAATATAGATATGATCCCTACTCGGGTCGAGACTTTTACATTTTTTTTCTCAAATTGAGTTTTGATCATCGTACAACACGTAGTGTCAAACACTAGTTGTTTATAAAATTTGCTTATTAGTTATAGACTAATGATCGTGTGAGAAATAAGAGTCAAAATGAGAAGCGTCATCATCACTTTCAATCTTCAATTAGAATTGACCTAAGGGTGGAGCGATCGTTGCTTACCATTCTCACAATAAATTCCATTCGCATCAGAATCCAACCCATTAATTATAATAATTATAATAAAATAAAATAAAATGAAAGCAAAATTAATTATATTTTATTGTAATTTGTTCTAAATAATTGAAAACCTGTAAATTTTTCCAATTAATTGAAATTGAACCCAACCCAAACCCTAATTCAGGATGGGCTTATGAAGATGATTTATAAGCTACTCAGAATCTAGTCCATGCTTGATGACCTAGGTCGAATTTGCTGTTGGGCTGAGTAATATCGATTCCACAACACCCCCAACAAATTGAATTGATCGTGTTTTCGTTGTTCATTCATTGTCGACAGAGCCGAGACTGTAATTTGAGCTATCTCCGCCACCTTCGTTGCCGGAGCAGTCTCTCTTTTCAGGTTAGATGAATCGCCGTCTTACCTTTTTCTGTCATTCAATACTAATAAACACTTCGAAACCGTCACGAAAATCAATTGTTACAAACCCTAGAACAAATGGGTTTTCGTTGTTTAGAGCGTTCATTTACACCTCAACACGCTTCAATAACAATAGCAATTTTAGGAGAGTTAATGTTAATACAGACCCAAATGATCCATCAACCCTAATGAAAGAAGATGGTGTATCAGTCTGTTCGGAATTGTGGATCGAGAGTTTTAGAAACCCTAATCAAACTGTCACTAATTTGACTAACTACTTGCGGAGATTCGAGTTGTGGGTTTTAGCTTATCAGAAAGTTTGTGCTGATGAAATGGGTGCTTATATGCCCAGAAGTTCAGTACAAAGACCAGCACTTGAAGATTTACTGGCACTTAGAAATGCTGTTCTTGATAATAGGTTTAGATGGGGTGCTAGATTAGAGTTTTTCATCAAGTCTCCGAAAGATAAGACAGAATATGAGTCTCTATCGAAGCGAAAAATTAGGGCTATCTTGACCACTACGCAACCGAGCCCATTTCAGGATAGGATTGTTCAAGAGGTTTTGTTTATGATTTTGGAGCCTGTTTATGAAGCTCGGTTTTCAGACAAGTCTTATGCTTTTAGACCAGGGAGGACTGCGCATACTGCATTGAGGGTTATTAGAAGGAGTTTTGCAGGTTATTTGTGGTATGTAAAGGGGGATTTGAGTACCATTTTAGATGGATTGAAAGTTGGGATGGTAATAGGTGCTTTAATGAGGGATGTGAGAGATAAAATGGTGATTGATTTGATAAAATCGGCAATGACTACTCCAGTGATCACTAGCCCGCCTGTAGAAAAGAAGAGAACGAAGAGGAAATATCAGAAAAAGAGGGTTCTAGCGGAAGACGAGCCTAAACCGGACCCTTATTGGTTAGAATCATTTTTCGGGTTTGCACCTGAGGAAGCTGAAAAGGTTCCTACTTGGGGACATTGTGGGATTTTAAGTCCTCTGTTGGCTAATATTTGTCTTGATGAGTTGGACCGTTGGATGGAGGGGAAAATCAAAGAGTTTTACCGACCTTCAAAGAGTGATGTAATATGGAATAGTCCTGAAGGAGAAGTTGACCAGGGGAATACATCTTGGCCGGAATTTGTTCCCACTAGTGGGCCCGACAAGACTAGAAAAATTGATTATATTCGTTTTGGTGGTCATTTCTTGATCGGAGTTAGGGGTCCTAGAGCTGATGCAGCAATTCTTAGAAAACAATTAATCGAGTTTTGTGATCAGAAATACAATCTCAAGCTTGATAACGAGTGTCTTCCAATTGAACATATAACAAAGGGGATAATGTTTCTTGATCACGTCTTGTGTCGAAGAGTTGTGTACCCCACTCTTCGGTATACTGCAACTGGTGGCAAGATCATCAGCGAAAAGGGTGTGGGCACTTTGTTATCAGTCACCGCAAGCCTAAAACAATGCATTAAACAGTTTAGAAAATTGGGATTTTTGAAGGGTGATCGAGATCCTGATCCACAGCCATGTTTTAGAATGTTCCATGCTACCCAGGCTCATACAAATGCACAAATGAACAAGCTTTTGACTACAATGGTTGAGTGGTACAGATTTGCTGATAATAGGAAAAAGATAGTCAATTTTTGTTCTTATATCATACGAGGTTCGCTTGCAAAACTCTATGCTGCAAAATACAAGCTTCGTTCACGGGCAAAAGTATACAGGATTGGTGATAGAACACTCAGGCGGCCATTAAAAGAGAAAAAAGGGCAATCACCCGAGTACAATAACTTGTTAAGAATGGGTCTTGCCGAGTCAATCGAAGGGCTTATGTATACACGAATGTCGCTAGTGCCTGAAACGGATTACAGCCCGTTTCCAGTGGGATGGAGGCCTGATCATGAGAAGGCATTGCTTGAATATATAAGATTGGATGATCCCAAAACATTAGAACAAAATCGTACAAATCTTCTTGAAGAAGGTCTTATATCACCTCAAGATTATATCTCTATGCTTGTTTGGAATTACAAGAGAAGTGCATCGATTAATGGTTTGAATAACTCAGAAGAAGGCAAAACATTGTTGTTAGGATCGAATGTTCAAACTGACGAGCAAAGGACAGAAGACGAGGAAGAACATGAAGAACAGTTAAGCGCTACACACTTATGAGGTAATTTATAGAATTTGAATCTTTCCGTGCACAGGAATTAATAGATTGGAAGGCTATAGAGTAGCATGTATAATTTCCATCTCACTGTTTTTCAAATTTTTATTAATACAGGGTTGTGCTTTCGGTTATCACTTCTTTTACTTATAAATTGTAATATAATGTCATAAGAAGTAAAATTTCTTAAGGGTGCAAACTGGGACAGGACTGAATGGGTAACAAATGCAGTTTTTTTTTGGGAACAAAATGAGGACAATGGAACAAGATACGTAGATTACTAAACTACCCATGTCAAATTAAAACCTTAAAATCTTCCACAATCCTTTCACCTGCCTACCTCACTCTGGCTTGTCCTGTTCAGCTTTAGACTTGATCAAGTAGAATATGTAAACTATGAAACTGAGTCGTTTCTTGCCAACTTTTAATCAAATTGCAAATCACACATTTTTTTGTAACTATGGTTTGTGTCCGTTAATGTATCTTGTAGTTATATTTGTAAGCCTTTGTTTCCTGCCTGCAAATTTTGTTTCTATAGGATCTTGGATTGGAGTTGGCACTTTGAGGCACTTAAAAACCGAGGTAAACTTCTTCTAAAATGTGTGCCCATGTGTTTGTATGTATGTTGGAGTTGGCTTTGTAACTTCGTATTTAATGTAGGGATGTGAATCTGGGATGGCACTTGTTCCGGTGACTATTGCTTTTGTTATCGAGGTCGAGAAAGAATTGTGTCTCCTTGGCAAGGTATGTATCTAGAAGATGTTTATTGTAAACAAGTGTGTTGCTTAAGAAATAAATTATTGTAACATTTACTAGTTTTTTTTAAGTATATAATATTTATATACGGCAATTAGAACAAATAAACTCACACACCCTCCTCACTTTTGGTATATACGGCAATTAGAACAAATAAACTTCAAAAATGTATATTATAAGTTTATTACAATTTACAACAACAATAGCAATATGATACTAGTTTGCTACCCCGATCATATTAGTTTATAAATATGATCATATTAGTGAGACATTGTTTGGTAGAGGATAAGTTTGCTAGATTCCACCCCTAGACCCTGCTTTCGGGTGAGACATATTGTTTTGTTTTGTTTTATGCTAACATTTAATAATACAACGGCCTTCTCTTGGTTTATATTTATTGTATATTTGGTGTTTTTTTTTTTTCGATATCTTAAATGGTGGTATCGTTGTGTTGATGGTATTTACAGCTTTTGTGATTATTTGCATATTGTGAATGAATTGTTGGTGGACAGGCGTCTTGGCTGTCTCTACCGTTGTTGACTCTGGAAATTGTCAAAAGCCGTTGCTTCATGAACGAGTAATTGTCTCATCCATGGTACGTTGTTGTGCATATTTGTTTCTAGAGTAAATTGTAGTTTTGGTTCCTATGGTTTGTCAATTCTGTTGGTTTTCGTCCCAAACAGTTTGTTTATTCCAATTTTGCCATCATGGTTAGCCAATTTGCTCAGGTTTGGCCCTATAATCTAATTTCAATGTTTTCATCATAGAAGAAGAAGAAGATGATGATGATGATGATGATGATGATGATGATGATGATGATGATGAAGAAGTAGCAGCATCTGGTTGTGGGCTAGAGGTTTGACTTTTGAAAGTCAAACAGGCCGAGATGACACCCGTAGAAATCGCCCTTGTGGATCCTTCTAATTGGTGGACATTGAAGGAAGGAAAGTGCGGAACAGACCAATTTTTTTCATGCAAATAAGCCTCCTGAATGAATATAGATACAAGTGATGTTTATTGTTTTGATTAGAAGTTTGTATTAAAATGTGTTTTGATTAATTATAGTTGATTAATGTGTTTTGGTTCCTTCTATCACCGGGGGTTTGACCAGAAAATGAATCCGGGACGGGATGTTAATCCCCGTAACCGCTAGGGATATGGACTGCGGCCGGGGGCCGTCAATAGAAACCGGGGCCAGGGATTAGAAAACTGCCCCATCCCATCCCCGCCCCATTACCATGCCTATCATGTATGCTTTGACTCGTAGGCTTGGTAAAAGAATATGATGGATAGTCTTTTGACGGAATTTCGCACAATTCTTGGATCAATGGTCTCTCAGATTAGGTGATACCGTCTAAGGAGAAGGAGATGCTTGGAGAGTTGGTGTGACCTTGTTTCTTTCGCCTATGCTATGTCACCCTCATTGTCGCATTAAATCTCAACACGGTCACATATATTTAGGAACCACTCCCAAGTCAGTAATGATGTTCTTCATCCATATAGCTTTCTTTGCAGCATCTAATGCTGCAGTATACTCCGATTATGTAGCAGAGTTTACTAGCTCTTTCAATTCACAACACCACCATTTAACACAAACATATATCATAATTTTTTTTTTGATTAACCTGGATATCCAACCCGCTATGCGAGCCGACTAATCTCAGGGCGACCACCTGCTTTGCAAATAGTCCGAAGTCGCCGCATTTGAACCTCCGTGGCCACAAGGGGATTTTTATTCCTCCTTGGATTTGAAACTGAGACCTCCTGGTATTTTTGACCTTTGGAGCCAAGTTCAAACCAATCAGACACCACCCTTGTGGTTAACATATATGACAATTACAGTTTATTAAGGGTGATCTAGTAGTCGATAGGGAAGTTTCCTAGTTTGGGCATGTCTAAGGGAGCTTGGAGGGAATTTTGAAAGTCGGTAAAGATTTGACGAAGCTCGCCATTCCTTTTTCAAACTCGTTCAAGAAAAGAGTGGGCAGCGGAAGTGACACTCTATTTTGGTCGGATAAATGGTTGAGCAACTTTAGGCTTTGTGATAAATTCCCGAACTTAATTAAGATTGGTAAAAATCCCAATGGGGTAGTCCTAGATCATGTTTCTTGGAACGGGGGTTCCTGGTTCGGGATGTGGAATTGGACTCAGGAACCTCGTGGGAGATTGGAGGACTTACAAGAGTTGGGCACTCTTATAGGTAATTTCTCTCCTATCTTGTCCGATAACGGCAAATGGATACAGTGGCTTAGCAAGGATGGGTCCTTTTCAGTAATCCTTAATTACTTGTAATTTTGAATTTTAAGTAACATGTATTAATAAACAATACTTTATATATTAAAAAATGATTTTTAATAATTTTTATCAAATCATCTATAATATGGTATAGATAAGATATGTTATATTTTGATGTATTTTTTTTTTTTTAGTTTTATTATAAGGTTTTCTGGTCACCTGAACTGAACCGCATCAGATTTGGATTTTGGAGCGGTCCAAATGATAACGGAAGACTCTAGAACCCTAGTGATCAAAAGCATACAAGTGAAGTCACGCACCCACCCAAAACCCTCAATACTCCCTCTTTCTATCTCTAAACAACCAAGCCTTCATCTTATCCATGGCGTCCTCCACTTTCTTTACACCAACTAAACCCTTTCTATCTTTCGCTACAGACCTTCCTTCTCCTTCCATCTCTACTAAACCCACAACTTTAGGTCTCCATTTTCCTCTTTCCAGCTTCATTTATGTTAATTTTGTTGTTGTTGTTGTTGAATTCATGATGTGTTTTTAACAGGTCTACGAAGAAATTCGTTCAAGGTTAACGCAATTGCAGCTAAGTACGAGCCCACCAAGGTAATTCTTTCTGATTGTTATTATGTATTAATCCTTACAGCGTAACAGTTCTTCAATTCGATCTACTCCGACAGGTTCTTATGGTTCTGTGACTCTTTTGTATTTTGGTTCTACTTCTTTAGTGGACTTATCAATTCTTTTTGTTTTTGAACTTATCAATTTTAAGCTTGTAACTTAACTCGTCATTCTAGTTGGAAGTGGATGTATGCAATGTGATCATTAAAGTGTATAATGTTGTTCACAAAGGTGATGTATTGTTTACTCATTGGGTTTTAATTTCTTTGTGCTCGTAGGTTAAGCCACAAGCTGATAGAGTGTTAATTCGTCTGGAGGAACTACCTCAGGTAATTCGTTTTGTATTGGCTGTATATTATTTATATGCCTCATGGTCTATTTCTCTGGAAAACATCTTATTTTTTGCAAGATCGTCTTTGAATTTATGGGTTTTTTCTTGTCACAAAAAAAGGTGAAGTTTTTTTTTCATAGTCTGTGGTCATGTTACTTCTTGATGCTTGGACCAATCGAGTTCTGTCTACTGTTTCTGTGTTCTGTCTACCCTTTTAATAGTTTTTATCAAATGATCTATAATATGGTATAGATAAGATATGTTATATTTTGATGTATTTTATTTTTTTTTAAGTTTTATTATAAGGTTTTCTGGTCACCTGAACTGAACCACATCAGATTTGGATTTTGGAGCGGTCCAATCGAGTTCTGTCTACTGTTTCTGTGTTCTGTCTACCCTTTTGATGTCTGCGTTGATGAGCCCACTTAGTAATTTGGCCATTATTCTCGTAACTATTTGTGCTAGAACTGGTTATTAGTTGTTATTTCACTTGAAATTATATTGAAACGACTGCACATTGCACTTAGAACTACTCGCAGGCATGGACCAGATTATAATACTTTAGACCTTCAGGTCGTGTGTTTCCAACATCGGCTCTGTATGTTGTAGGTATATGGTAAGCTTCCAAAACATTAAACTTACTTGTTTGGGCATATTGGTTATGTAAACCACCAGAGTGATAAGTGTTATGACTTATGAATCGTGTACTTGGCACTTCCTTATTCGATCACCTTCTACTCACGGGAACTGTGGACTTCTCTAATGATGTCTTTTGCTGATTTTTGTTTACTTTGGTGACTTTGTGCATTTATTGTCTAGGTGAAGTGGCAAGTGCAATGATTTCAAATTTGTAATTACTCAAACTATTAGTGGCTTAAGATTATTTGATCATTATGATGCCTCTGGCGTCTTTTGCCGAAGCATAAATGAGAAATGACATTTTTTATGTGTGTGCTCCACTGTATTGAGCACTCTTAATTTGATGTTTTATATGCTTTTTGATGATTTTCGTTTAAATCAATATTAAGTGGAAGTTAGTGATATGTTATGTACACTTTCTATTATGGTCTTGTCTTAGGAAAAATACATGTATATATTTGGGGAAGATTCCTTTGCAAATTTAACTATTTACCCAATAGCAACTATCAGAAGACAGTGGTAAGATTTATCGTGTTCTCCAAGTTTTCTGAACTTTGTCTTGTCAAGACATACTTCCAAGTATTTAATCATTAGTTAAAGACTTCTGTTAGATCATGTGCTCAGTTTAACGTTGCGTCTTCTTTTTGGTTGGAGGGAGCAACATTTAGCTACCTGAGGTTGATTATGAGTTTCCTAGCTACATGGATGTGTAGAAATCTGATTAAGTTAAAATTTTAAGTATCATATTGGTTTATATAGCTGCTTGGTGAACAACACCTGAACTCATTCAGCTTGTGGCTGATGTTGTCTTTCTTTGAGCAATGAAGCCGAATGCCAATAAAGGGAATCAGGCGTTGAGCAAGTTTCTCTTATAGCACACACTTATAGCCTGCTATTCCTTTTTCATGATCGTTTGACTGGCTTTACCTTTATGATCAGAAATCTGCTGGTGGAGTTTTGTTGCCAAAATCAGCTGTCAAGTTTGAACGTTATCTTATGGGAGAAGTAAGTGATAGTTTTTCTTCGATGTTTTATTTCAAGGAAGGATGCTTATTAGGGATCAATCCAGTCTTATGTGTCATGATGTCATTTGTATTTTTATATTATTAATTCTTTCTGTTCCAGATTCTTGCTGTTGGTTCTGAGGCAGGGGAATTGGAGGCCGGGAAAAAGGTATCTTTTGTATGGTTTGATTTGTCGAGTTCCTCAAGTGAGCATATATTCAAAATTCTTGCTTGGTATATAGTAGTTCCTATGATCTAGGATACCACCGGAAGCATTAATTTACTTGACACTTTTTTGGTGGTGTTGCCACCATTCATAGTCTCATCATGTATTTTGCTTCTTTTGCAGGTTCTTTTCTCTGATATCAACGCCTATGAGGTAAACGTTTTTTTATATTAAGCCACTGTTCTATCACTGCACACACAAACAACCAAAAAAAAAGTGATTACAATCTAAGTTTTGTGAGGTTAACAAGTGATTTTCAAGTCCTTATACTCCATCGATCCCAAAAGAATTGCAGCTTTGGCTGTACCTATAGATGAATGAAAATAGCTAACAGTAGTTGGTTATATGTCCAAAACATCATTATAACTTATTTTAAGTGAACTTATCAAAATGAAGCACATTGAGTGTTCTTGGAGCGAGTATATGTTGTTATGAAGATACGGTAGACACATTGAGCTTCTCAAATTTTGACAAACCATGTCAAGTAAAATGTAATTGACTAATGCTGTCCCAAAATCCAATAATTTTTAAGATAGAATGGTACATATTTGGAGTTGAGGAAATGTGCACGGGTTTGCAGGTGTGCATTTCATTCTGTCATGGTGTGGTTGGTCCTGCAAAAACATAGACATAAAGCAATCCATCATTTTGCATATAATGACCAACATACGACGTGTATCAGGTGGATCTTGGAGCAGAGGGAAGACACTGCTTCTGCAAAGCAGCCGACTTGCTGGCTGTCGTTGAGTAGCCAACACACCATTATACGGTGAGATTTTCATCTTCTCCCAGGAAACCGTAATTGATTGTAGTGCGCGCTTGTTGCTTATGATTTGATACATTTTGTTGGGAAGTGAAATACAATAATAAGCATCACAAATTTAGCTTCATCAAGTTCATTATTCGGAAGTTTTTATTCTATCCGTCATGTTTATTTTGACACTTTGTCGTAGTCTCAATGATCGCTGCTACTAGTTATAACCAATTTCTCATTCAACTGAACTCCATAAGATATTGCCATTCCCATTTTCATCGAAGATATAGGGTTTGTTTTGTACGTATGTATATTTACGTACTTCTACACTATACTATGCCGTAAGGATCATTGAATGGTACACTCGCATTTTGTGAAGCTACGTCTTTATGCTATTCAAGATGGCATCATTTATGTGCTCAATGCTTGTCTAGAGGTGTTAACGAGTTCGAGTCGAATAGCAGGTTGCTTGGGGTTCGCTCAAGAGTAATATTAAGCTAAAGCTCGAACCACCTTTTCAAGCATTGCATAAGCAATTTACGCGAAGGACTCTCTTTAACAGAATGTATCATTTACTTTTTGGTTTAATTTATCAACTTGGGTATAAAAATTGGAACGACCAAAGTTTAACATGAAACAATATTGTGAACTTTAATTAAAAAATCATTGTTTCACTTGTAAACTTTCTGGTTTCATCTATGAACTTTGGTATAAATTTAGAACAATCATAGTTCGTACATGAAACAATATAGCGAACTTTAAACAAACATCATATAATCACGACAAAAATCCCTAAATCAAAATAACTTTGTGATACATAACCATTACAAATCAAAACCCCAAATCGAATTTAAACAAAAATCAAATGCAGATCAGAACTTTAAACGAATTCAAACGAAATATTTAATCTTAAAAATTTACTCATATAGTCGGCTTGTATAGCAGGTTGGATGTTTAGGTTAATCAAAAAAAAAATTTACTCGTATGGTTTATTTATTGAAATATTTTACTTTTTAGCCATTTTAGAAATCTTTTTTCTTAAATAGCCAAAGTTTTTTAACAAAAAATAATGCAATAAAATCTATTTTTCATTTCAAATATCGTTTTTCTAGTTCAGATATCAAATTGAACATTTAAAAAAAAATCCAAATTATGACAATAATTTTTTTTTATTAACGCAAAAAAAGTCAATTTAGTAGAAAAAAATTAATTGATTCAATTGGTTAGATATAAAAATCTTGAATGTGATATTTAATATTTATTTTTATTTGCATCAATTAATTTTTTTTATTAAATTGATTTTTTTTGTATTAGTAAAAAACAATTTTTATTGTGGTAATTTGGATTTTTTTTAAATGTTCAATTTGATATCTGAATTAAAAAAAAACGAGATTTGAAATAAAAAATAGATTTTATTGCATTAATTTTTGTAAAAAAAACAAATTTTAGTTATTTTCTATAATTATTTTGCAAGTTGGTTCCCCAAAATGACGATTTTGAAAGTTGGTTCCTCAATATAGGAATCAGGTGTAAGTTGGTTCCACAAAATGACGATTTTAAAAGTTGGTTCTTCAAAATAAGAATTAGGTTAAAATTGGTTCTATTTTGGTGCAATTTTCTAAAAAAAAAAAAAAGATTTTCTACATAAAATTTATTTTGAGGCAAAAAAAAAAGAAAAATAATTTAAAATTTAAACTTTACGCAAAAAAGAGAAGTTTACGCAAGAAAGGAATTTACGCATATTTTCTGCGTAAAGTTTAGTTTCAAGCAAAATAAGAAAAATAGTTTTAAAAAACGTTTACTCCCCAAAAATAAGGGGTACTTTAGGCAGAAAAACGCAAAGTTTGTATTTCATTAAAAAATTACACTTTGCACTCTTATAATTAATTAATTATTTAATTTATATTTTTTTATTTTTCATTTTACACCTTTATTATATGGAAAATTTATAAAAATAACCGGTTTACATAACCATTTGCCACAAAATAACCATATTTTAGAGGTTTTACCGGAATGACCAAATGGATCACCCCCGGGGGTGATCCGTACATTATGGGGGACCCCCCCCCCCCTTAAGTCTTTAAAAAAAATTATCCTTAAAAGTCGAGATTACTGTTCATTCTCGTTGACCGTGTTTGACCTCGCCCCCGGGGGTTGGAGGTTGGTATTTATAGTGAAATTGATATTAGAAAAAAAAATCAATTTTTTTTAACCCGGATCGCCCCTCGTACAGTACGGATCGCCCCGGGGGCGAGGTCAAACATGGTCAATGAGAATGAACAGTAATCTCGACTTTTGAGGGTAATTTTTTTTAAGACTTAAGGGGGGATCGCCCCCATAGTGTACGGATCTCCCCCGGGGGCGATCCGTGTGGTCATTCCGGTAAAACCTATAAAATATGGTTATTTTGTGGCAAAGGGTTGTGTAAACCAGTTATTTTTATAAAATTCCCTTATTATATTAATACACATCAACTAAAGTAAATAAATAAAATATGTTTTTTTATCAATTACATTATTATAATCATCTCGTCAGTACGTTCAAAACGAATCTAATATTTAATATTTTTTGTTTTAATTATATTATTAAATATCTTAAATACACACCATTATTTCTAAAACTTACACTTTTTACCCTTACAGTTTTTTATTTAATCTATAACTATAAGAGTGTAAAATGTAAGTATTAAAAATAATTCGTAATTAATAATATTTAATAATATAAAATTAAATCCAAAAATATATTCAATATTGAGCTCATTTTAAATGTATTAACGAGCTAATTATAATGATGTAATTTATAAAAAATATATATTTTTTAGTATATTTTAGTTAATATACGATTATGTGTGTTAATATAATAAATGTACAAAATAGAAAATAAAAAAACAAAGGATATAAATTAATTAAACAACTAATTATAGGAGTGTAAAATGTAAAAAAAAGTATTAGAATCTACGTATTAACGAGCCAATTATAATGGTGTAATTTTGTACTGCCTCTCTCCAAGCTGCCTGTGGGAGTCGTCATGTTGATATTAGAGTACGAAACCACCATCAAAATATAATTCCTTACTTGCCTGAAACAAGAAGAAAGGTATTTGAAGAGTTTCTTCGAATTCGTGATGTAGTTGTTGTAATCCTCTTAGCATAAACCCTAATTAACGAGCTTTTGCATCTAAGAAGCCATCGAACAAATTAAATGCAACCGCAACAGGGACATTGAGCCTGTTTGCCTGATCAACGACATGAATCAACGCCCAGTGATAGAAGAAGCAGCAGCGGTGGCCATCGGAAGAGAATCTGGTGGGAAGGGGGCGAAGAGTTGCCGCCGATGGAGTTGAAGGAAGCGATGGAGGAGAAGAGGGGTTAGGTCTTCATGCGATGAGCCGGGTGGGGAAAGGGTAGCCAGGTAAAAAAAGTTGTGTTCCACTTAGTTCTAGGGGGTAAAGGAGAACAAGCGTGTCCCATTCTTGTACTACCTAGTTCTACTTAGTTCCACATTAAGCCACACCAAACGTAGGACAAATTTGTTCTGTCCTGTCATGTCCCACCCTGTCCAGCGTACCAAACACACCCTAAGCGCCTACTGGGTAAGTGTGTAGGTAAACGGCCCCTTAGAATCATTATTGTAACATGTGGTTAGAATCAACTTTCTTCAATAACAAAACATCAACCGTTGTTTACTTCAAGTTCTCAAGAAAACCCCTAGCTCAATTCTAAGGCTGAATTCTCCCTCAACTCTCAATTTTTGTGGCAGTTTTCAAAGAGCTATAGTGCGTTGAACATTGGGGATCAGTATCACGATAAATAAGTCAATGAAATTGCGGGTGAGGCTACTCGTTGAACAAAAGAAAAAGAGAAACAAAGAACAAGAAAGTGGAAGATTATCAATATAAGGTCATGCTTGGTATTCCAATCAGAAAATTAGACATCGAGAAAGCAAATATGAACGGAATTAATTGATAGAAGAGTTGAATCTTCAAATCAAAGACCTAAGGAAAAGGGATTAAGATTTGCAACCGTAGTCGAGAATCAACGAATCGAAAAATCTAGTTGAATAGGGAAAGACATAAATTGCTAAAACGTTATAATTGCTCTAATGAAGTAAAATAAGAGGTAGAAGACAATAGAGATTGAGCTACTTAAAAATCAACATTCATATATACCAAAAAAATTGGAGTCGTTGTCTTTGTTGCCTTTTGAAATCTGGAACAAAGTTACTACAATACAATTGGATTCAAAATTAAACTTGGGACGCTATTATTTTTTATAAAAGTTATTTGGGTGTTTGGGATTGCTTATTTTAGGTGTTCTTTGACTTATTTCGGTCCGACACACCGGTGATAAATTAAATGCTAGTGTTTGGATGATGAAAATTAAAACTACTTATACCAGTGTCAAACCGGTAATAAACAATTTTTAATAAGTTAATCATTCATAACTTGTGAAAAACTGTTTATTACCAATTTACCATTTTAACCTTGTTTTATTAATGTTTGTTAATTATTAATCTTATTGATATAAATTTTTGTCAAAGAAATTATTATAAATGATGAAAAATAAATTTTTACATGTTAAAAAATCAAACAAGTCAATAATATGGAAAACTGTCATTTTTGACCATTTTACATATATAAGCAAAATTTGCCAAACACTAAAAACAACTTATCAGTTTATTACTTTTTGATACCATTATAAGCTAATTCAAACACTTTTTACAAAATTCCGGTTTAATACCACATAAGTTAATAAGCACTTTTACAAAAAAAACATAAGTTGTTTTAAATAAGCAATCTCAAACACACACACATATATGTATATGTATATATATGTCACAAATTATAAATTCTAATTGCTTCTCCAAATACTGTTGTTAGTCGATCTAATGGTTTAAAAAAACAGAAAAAAAGATGTATTTACACAAAACATTAGGATCAAGCCAGGCCTGATCGGGCTTCCTTTCATGAATGTATTTACACAATACAATATTAGTATCAATCAACAAGACATGTATTTGTTCTTGTTCAATTTGGAAGTGCTCCTTTTTAACTAAAACAAACACATTCATCAAAGTTGCATCATAAGAAACGTTTCCCTAGTAAACACATAATTCAATTGAAAGAATGACACTAAAGGTTATTTACAACTTATTCAGTCAACTATACATGATTGTTTGATAGTGGCTTATTCAGTAAACTTTTAGAAAAAAACTTTATGCAGAAAGCCTATTTTTTTCTTTCGACACTTATCTCTCCCAATTAGAAAACACACTTCTTTCATCTATGAAAAAAAAAAACTCTCCCAAACAAAAACCTTCTCAATCTATACAAACAGATTCATCCATGCAAACATCTTTATCCATACAAGACTTAATGAAAACCAATATAAATAAAGTCACAACTGCAATGTCTCACAAAGGCATAAAATTGCAGTCATGTTGATGATGCATATTTCAATTAACAAACATGCAAGGACGATGAAGTCATGAATGCTTCTAATTATTTTCCTGTCCGACTTCAACTTATACAGCAAAACCAAACACCACAACAGAAAAATAGGCCAAAAACAGATTTAACTAGCCATTGGATGGTTATATACATACTCGATTGCAAGGGCACAGGAGTCGATCTTATCAGCTTCTTTGTCTGGAATCTCTAACTTGAACTCCTCTTCGATTGCCATTATAAGTTCCACATTGTCTAAGCTGTCCAACCCCAGATCCTTTTGGAAATGAACTTCAGGAGTCACCTGCAGACATACAAAGTTTTAGTCACCACAACTCTTGCAGATTATAACAATTTGAAGGTAACATCAAGAAACTCATAATACGTAGTTTGTTCAATTCTTCATGACGATTTCTCCTAATGCAGATATCTTTTTACGTTCAAAAACACTCTTATTTTCTTCTTTTTTAAGGGCAGGAGCCAGGAGGGGTGTATGTATCACCTTCGAAACCAGTAAGCCCAAGAAATAGTAGACAACAACCTCGTTCAAGATTTTTTATGAGAATATTGATCTGTCAGATGGCAGGATATTTGGAGGGAATGTTGATCTGTCAGATGGAATGGAAACAGGGCAATGCTGGACAAAAGCAGAATATGATCTAGTAGAAATACAACGGAAAGAATGAAACCTTACTTCACAACAGCAAAAAGGAACTCCTAAGAAATGGGCCTCAATAATAGGACATGAAAAATGGGATGCACGGCATATCTACACAATCACACATCCGTGCATAGGTCACATCGATAGCAACATAACTTAGGCAACTACTGGTCTGCATGAGCAGGGGTTCCAAACGAACCGAATATGAACAGTTTCCCACAAAATAAATAGAGATTAATCAGTTTATTCAAGGTTTTAGGGTTTACTTTTTAAGATTCAGAGTCTATTCTTTAAGATTTAGTTTTCCATCACCAAGTTCATCATCAATTTCTAAAGTTACATCACCAATGTAATCATATTCATGACCAATTTTCTTAATGCGGTTTTTTATATTGTCCAAAAAATAAAGAGTGTAAATTTCAGATTGTCGAGGTATGACGTTACGGTGGAGGATGTAAGGTTTTGGTAGGTTTGGCGTAACATTACAGCCATTGGAAGAAACGTCCAAAAACAATACCGTATGTGTTGTCCCCATGCATAGCTGCATGATCATCTCCCCATTTATGGCAATCCCTTAATTTACTTTTAAATAAATATATATATATATATGGATGAAGAAAAAATCCTTTTTTAATCCAAAGAGAAATAAGGTCAAGTTCTAACTATGTGATGTAACCAAGATATTTGTTGATTCATTATGTTTGCTCAGACTAGACTGCTACTTTTATTTTTACATGTCATGACAAGTTCAACAACACATAAAGGTGCAAGTAAATCGGGCCGGATCGAGTCTTGGCCAAAAAAAACTGTTTATTCTTTATAACATATCGTTTACCCTTCTACTAGCTTCTAATATAATAACTTGACAGTTAAAACCACACCATCCTCGACAGACGGTAGATGAATTGAATAGAATATTTGACAAGCTTTCAGTATAAAGGCAATCATAGAAAAGAATTCAAGGCATCAAAGTGTAAATAGCAGCACATTACAAATAGCATGAACACTTGTATCAGATTTTTGGATTGATCTGCAACTTATTTTTCATATCACATGCTACATCACTCCTAATTGCTGAAACAATCAACATTTTATTTCCAAATCGCAAGTTGCATCATTCCAGACTTGCTGAAACAATCAAGAAAATCTTATTCTCCATATCACACTGCATCATCACAGAATTGCTGAAACAGTTTCAACTTTTGCAGTCTAACAATACGTTTTGCAGTCACAATTTGACATTTAAAAGATCAACCTTACAATGCTTCAAAAATGTTGTAGCAAAACCCCCACAATTAGTCACTTCCCTCCAATCTGAATAAACATATATCAATTTTAGATCCTTAAAATGACTCTTTCACAAATCAATTCTACAAAGACTAAATTTGAGGATAAACTAAAAGAGATGAGAATGACAATTTACTACATTCAGCTCAATGATTAACCTGACAACAGATTTGTAATTGAATATACCAGATTCAGTTCAGTATTCGACTCTTATTTCTGTATCAAAATTACAATTTAACGTTTTCATCTAAATTTATATACAAATACATCGATTTCGAATCTATAACAATAACACATTTGACTGCGTAATCACAAGGTATCTCTAATGCAAAGAACGAAACACAAATCATTTCCACGATCTTATAAAACTAAAAATAAACTAGGTCAAAGAAAATTAAACAGATACAGCTATACGATTAAGTCTAATTGAGTCTAAAAGTTGAATAAACCAAATTCAGAATAATCAGAAAGAAACTACCTTAGAAGGATCGACTTTAGGGAAGCTCTTGACGATATCGAGGATTCTATCAATGACTTGACTCTTTTCGAGATGATCGTCGTGAGATGACATTGATCGAACGGAGGTGGTCCGGTGGATCCATAAAGGAGTCAGCAGCTTAGATCCGTTAGCCACCACGGGAACTCGTACGTGCCCTAGTATTGCTGCTCTCAAAGCCGACGCCATTTCTCCGCTTTCTTGATCTTCTCTCTCTTTCTGTCCCGGAAAAAAACAGAACTTAAAACTTAAAAAGCCGTACAGCATAACTTTGGCCCATTGGGCTAAGTCTGCATTCCAAAACCCAACCCAACTACTTATCCACGATATTTTTGTATTGAGTTTAAGGTTTAGGGTTTAGGCTCATTGACTTATTTTAGTATGGTACCGGTGATAAGCTAAATGCTAGTGTTTGGATGAGGAGAAATAAAACTATTTATACCGGTGTCAAACCGATAATAAGCAGTTTTTGATAAGTTAATCCTTCCTGACTCATGAAAAACTGTTTATTACCAGTTTATCATTTTAACCATGTTTTATTAATGTTTGTTAATTATTAATCTTATTGATATAAATTTTTGTCAAAAAAATATTATAAATGATGAAAAATAAATTTTTACATGTTAAAAAATAAAACAAATCAATGATATGGAAAATTGTCATTTTTGGTCATTTTACATATATAAGCAAAATTTGCCAAACACTAAAAAACAACTTATCAGTTTATTGCTTTTTGATACCGCTATAAACTAATCCAAACACTTTTTACAAAACTCCAGTTTGATACCATATATGTTAATAAACACTTTTACAAGAAAAACATAAGTTTTAAATAAGCAATCCCAAACACCCCCTTAACAAAACGTTTGTCGATTAAGTGTTTATCGAGAAAAAAACATCATCCTCGTTTAACTTATCATGTAATATTTTCGGTCATAAAAATATATTACTTACTTGGTAAAAATCTTAGTCCTTATTATACCTCTTATTAGGTAAGATTTTCTGTTATTGTTATACTCAAACGTTAAAGTATAACGGGTCCGGACAACTACAATTACCAAAAATGAATATTTTTTTAAACTATTGATTTTTTGGTTATATTGCATTTTAATGCATGCATCATGGCTTATTTCTATACATATATTTAAGAGGGGTCACACCCATGGTTGCATGAACTTGGTTTCCAAATGAAATCACCACCCAAAAGTATTACAGTTTTTGTTTCCAAGTTCCTTTGCTTCTTCTCTCTTCTCGCTCTCTCTGAAACTTCACGGATCCTTCAAACATGCCAGGTCTTTCTCTTTATTCTATCCGTATACCGATTTATGCATTGATATGATCCATGATTCATGAATCTTCATACTATATCGAACCATGATTCTTCTGGTATTTGTTTCGATTTAATTCCAGAAATTATGTATAATTGTTTTCAGAATCAATGTAGGTTGTTGTTTTTCTTCATCTTTCTGGATCATTAGTTACTGCAATTTGGGGATTTCCTTTCTTTTTACCCTGATTCGAGTGGGCTGTAAAAAGATCCCCTTCTTCATGTTCTAATAACAATTGATTTTCTCCTTCAAAGTGTTTTAGGGCATTGATTTTACGTGGGGATTTCAATTTGATGTAACCGGAAGTGGGTCTTAAGTCAAATTTGTTTGAAGATCATGCCGATTTCTAGTTATTGATTTCAAATTTTTGAAAAGCTAAAGCAATTGATGATTCAAATGGGCTGTTTTCCAAGTTCGAAATTGTTGCAGATTCTAAACTTGTTCATTGTTGTTTTGGATGAGAAGATCATGCTTTTGTAAAAATTTGATATCATGATGTGTCCCATAGATTATCATGATGTGAAATACGTAAGGAATGTTGCACCATGGTTCACTGTTGCACTCTTTTGCATGTTCGTTGTTGGTCTTTGTGAAAACAATCGCTCTACTTTTTCAGATAGTAGTTCAGGTCTACGCACATCAGACCTCCAAGTCCTACCTTCACAGGACTCGTTTGGTTCGGTTTGGATTGGATTGGATTGATGTGTCTTCTAAGTTTATGGTTGTTTGTTTCTTGAAACAGATGATGAAGATCCAAAGGAGGCGGTCCCACCAGCCAAAGATGGAGTTCGATCGATCCTCCCACCAATCACGGAGCTCAAACATTGGCAACGGTGGCGTTCACGGTTGTTTCTTGAAAGGGATAATGAAGGTCCAAAGGTGGGCAATGATGGAGTTCCATCGAGCCTGCCACCGATCAACAAGCTCAAACGGTGGCAATGGTGGTGTTTGGTGTTCTTGAACATAGGTTCCCTCCTCATCGGCCAAGGTTCCGCTGTTCTTCTTTTAAGATTCTATTACGATCAAGGTGGACATAGTAAATGGATGGCCACGCTTGCTCAAAACGCCGGATTCCCCATCCTTTTCATACCCTTCATTCTCTTTCCTTCGATCAAAGAACCGTCAAGCGAGTCTCCAAAGATTGTGTGGTTGGTCTCTTTTGGTCTTGGTGCACTCATTGCGAGTGATAATTTGTTGTATTCCGTAGGATTAGCGTACTTATCGCACTCTACTTACTCCCTCATTTGTGCGACTCAATTAGCTTTCAGTGCGGTTTTCTCATTTTTCATGAATTCCCAGAGATTTACTATCTTGATCTTCAATTCCATCGTTGTTCTTTCGTTATCGGCTTCTCTGGCTGCCGTGAGCGACAATTCCACTAAACGTCCTGGCATCAATCGAACAAAGTACAGTCTCGGTGTTGTGTCTACACTTGCTGCTTCGGTTTTTTACGCTCTTTTGCTTTCGCTCACACAACTTTCGTTCCAAAAAGTCATCAAGAAAGAAACTTTTTCCGTGGTTTTTGAGCTGCAGATCTGTACGTCGATCATCGCATCGTGCCTTTCGATCGTGGGTCTGTTTGTTAGCGGCGAGTGGCGGATTATGAGAGTCGAAATTTTCAGTTTCCATGATGGGAGTTTGGCGTACGTTATGACATTGATATGGGCGGCTGTGGCTTGGCAGGTGTGTTCGGTTGGCGTCGTGGGCTTGATCTTTGTGGTATCGTCGTTGTTTGCGAACGCCATTAGTACATTCTCGTTGTCTCTCATGCCTTTGGCCATTGCCATCGCTTATGATCGTACAGTGAGCAGTACAAAGACGATCGCAATTCTTATGGGGCTCTGGGGATTTTGGACTTACGTTTATCAGTATATTCTCGACGGTCCTCAGGTGAAGAACAAACCGCATCATGGTAAAAACTCTTCTTCATTTCCGGTTTAGAGTCTTAGCAAATTTTTTGAGATAAATTCAAGTTTATGATCATAGAAACACGTTGTGTATAAGGTTTATGATGCATTTTATGAACCAAATAAGTTGTAAAGATTCATACGTGTATTTGCATTTAGTGAACGATATTTTAGATTGTTGACAAATAACCAATAGAAAACATAAAATGACAATTTTACCCTTAATAACGGAGATTGTAAAAAAATTCTCTCTCATAAGGTAGAATCGAAAAATAAGCCGTTATCTTTAAAATAGACTTATTTTCTGACAAACTAAAATAGAAAATTTAAACATCTAGGTTTTTTTTTTCATTAACCTGGATATCCAACACGCTGTGCGAGCCGACTAATCTCAAGACGACCACCTTCTTTGCAGATAGTCCGAAGTCACTGCATTTGAACATCTGGGTTTTTTTAAAGGATATGTACTGAAAAAGGTAAGAGCATGTTTGGTATCAAACATATTCAAAGGAAGAAATGAAAATATGAGTATGTATAGTAAATATCAACTTTTGGGTTCATATATAAACACAAAAAACTGTACAATTAACTTCAAATACAATCCATGGTAACACAACTGCAATAATCTTTGCATCCACTGAAATGAACACAAGTGAAATGAGATGCTAATCCAACTACAGAAAGCCATAGTTCCTGCGGTCGGTTTCGGGAGTTTGTGATGGCAATAAAAAAAGAATGTAGGCAAACTGCATCAGATGTCATGATATATGACCACGTATTCGGGTTTCGGCCGCTGGCAATCAACGTCTACGCAGGTAGAGGTTCCTCCATAACTGTATTTTTGTTTGTCCAAGAAAAGATGATAATTGTCAAATTCACTTCTTAGATACAAAATATAAAACCAAAAAACAGAGGAAAACCCCAAGTTTTCTACTATTTTGAAAAACCGTCATCAAACAACTTCAAATTTACTATTTAGACATTGATGGATGAGACTTCATTTGTGTGTAGTTTGACAAGATACGAATAAAAATATATGTCATCCATTGAAAACCAACTTTCTTAATTAAAAGGTAAACGTTTAGCCAATCACGAAGAGAGAGAGAGAGAGAGAGAGAGAGAGAGAGAGAGAGAGAGAGAGAGACCTTTTGTATGTGCAGATTGAGATTTATGAGCAACAATCTCATCATCAGTAGAGACAACTGGTGGTTTTGTTGGTACATCAGGGAGATCCAACTCCTCTTCATCTTTTTTGGAAACAGGAGCTTCTGGCAGATCTTCTATTGTCATCTGTAACAGCAATATTTAAGCAACAGACGGAACGGTATAAGGTATGATGATGCTTATGCAATTTGTAAGCCAAATACACCAAATTATACTATGAAAGCTAAAAAGAAAGGAAAAAAAAATACTTTTTCTTCACTACCATCATAAAAACAAGAATTCTAAAGCCTAAATCCAAGACTGCTAAATTCATTTAAAGAAAAGAAGGAAGTCGGATCCAGAGTGATCCTGATATGCTCGGTTAACAAAGTAATCCTAATATACTTGGGTAAAAATACGAGGAAGGTCGGGTAACAAAGTGTCATTATTTGAGGGCATTGTCAGAAACTTGCATCAAACTGTGACTTTTGCAATTATAACAAGTACATATAACTTGGAGATGTAGTGAATCGAAACATACCTGAGATTCCAGGTTTTCAAATTCCGCAAGAATATCCTCTTCATCCTCGGCTGATAATTTCTCTCCCAAGATTGCAGTGATTTCCTGACCACAAACTCAAGTGTCAAAAAATAGGGATGAATATGTTGATCAAGTTGGCCAAATTTAACCAAAAAAATTGTCTTCTGGTAGTTAAAGTTGTTAAACCAATACCAACAAGTTAATCACTTTCGAGAAAACATAAACTCTCAACCTTAATCAAGATTGCATGCCCAATATTTTGTGTGTAAATTTTGAATTATACTTGTTTGTTTGTCGGGTTTTTATAAAGTCTAACAGTAACATGGAATAATAACTCACATCCTGGTATGCTTTGGCTTCGGCTGTATCATCCATCAGTTTTTGAACATCATCCAAGTTAATTTCACCTTGGATCGCCCTCATTGCGTTATTCCCTGCTTTCAAACTCTCAAACACAGCCTTCTGCTTGCTTGCTAATTCAATATCTGCCAACTAAATTGGATTGTGTTATTTGGGTTTCAACGCATTGCAAGTTGGTTTCAACTTGGAAATCATAAAAAATTGGAAGTTTCGCGAAAATAAAACCGTAAGGCAAGTTCATGAATCTAAACGAGTGCTTACTTGCTGCTCAACGTTGACAAGCCATGCATCAACTTGTTTCAATAAATCTTCTTGTACTTTCTTCTTCTTCAGCGCTAACAAGGCCCTTTCTTTCTTCTTTTCACGAAGCAAATCCTTCGCAGCTTGCTTTTCAGCATCAATAACTTTCTCGAGCTAAAAGAATAGCATGCCAAATACCAACTTAACACGGCCCTCTATTCTAAGATAAGATTGCATATGTTTTACAAAATACACCATATAAACCACAAGTTATCTTATTAAACATAAGACAGCAATAACATCCTCAAGAGAAAGAAACTACTATACAACTCCAAAGTGAACATCAAACCTGACATCTAAGGATGCAATGAAGAACTGAACTAAGCCAAGAATTATTTACTAAATCCATCGAATGAGAAAGTGCATTAGGTTTTATCAAGTCCATGAATATAATCAACATAGACTCACTATGTTGTTACTAAACTAAATTTCATATACACTTCTCAACTGCGAAAACCACAAAGACACATTTCAGAAAGGCATCATGACCTTCCACATAATAGATGAAAAAAGAGAAACGAGGCTAGATAAGATTCAAGGAAGAACCATTGTATGGGTGTACTCTCAAAATGGAGATCTGTCATATATCTTAAGTAGTGGTACAATTTAACCAAATAATCCATTTAGCAATTTCCCAAGCAGCATTGCAATTAATTTGAGCAACGGAAAGGCTCGTATGCGTTAGCATTCTTCCATGATACAGTAGATAGTGGCCTAATCCTATGCCTCCTTTTTCCTTTTGCAATGATAGTCAAGACACTTGTCGAGGGCTAACAATATTGCATGTTATGGTAAGTTAAAGACATCAAAATCTAAGATGTAATTATATGAGACAATGAGAGCAGCTTGGTATAGTAACATTTCTTCAAGTCAAGTAGAACTTAGGGGTCATTCACCAAACGCTTATTGTGTATGTGCTTACTGGCAAGAGTCACCACCCTTACCTTATCGGATAACATTCTTGGCCATCAAAATGGATTGTTGGTAAGTGTCTCTTACCAAGTAAACACTAAGTAAGAGTCTTCACCCTCACTTACCGGGTAAAATTCTTAGTCCTTGCCATGCCTCTTCCCAGGTAAGATTCTCAATCCTTGACATGCTCACCCAGTAAGGTAAATGGCACCCAGTAAGCATTTGGTAAACGACCCTCAGTTGATCCGTTCACAAAAGCACTTTGAATAATTGGTACAATATAAAACTATAGGATGGACTGAAACCCACATGATTGTTGCTAGCGTGTATTGAGTGAATCCATTTGGCCCAACCTAATTACGGGAGAACCCTAGTCTTATAAAACAAGTGTGAAGAATCGATGAATGCTAAAGGGGCATTTGGTTTGATAGAATGGTTTTAAGGGATTTGGATTTCGTGGAAAGATTTGGAATCTGGGGTGTGTTTGGTTTGTAGGATTTGGAATGGAATTGAATTCCATTCTATATAATAATTTAACAAATGTTCTTAACACATTCTAAATCATTACTACATATAAATCCTACAAAAACCCGTGAAATACCAACCACGCATGTGGGATTTCAAAATCTTATGTTTGTGGGATTTGAATGAAATCCCGGGATTTCAAATCCAGGAAATCCTTCAAACCAAACATGGGATTGGAATGGAATTCAATTCCAAATCCCTACAAATCCAATCCCATCCTGCAAACGAAACGGGACCTAAGACTTAATGTCTCATGAATCCTCTGAAATTCCCATACGGAAGAGCACTAAATGGTTTTCCTCCCAAATATCTCATGCTTAGTTTCTATGTTGATCAATCTTCAACTTAGAACTTTGATTACCCAAACAACTCAAGCTCATGTTTAGTGCATGACAAATCTAGGACATGAAGATTTAATTACTTAAACAACTCAATCACATGTTTCGCGTATGATATATCTACAATTTGGAGATTGGATTACACACCTATCATATCCCTACATTATAACCAAGGTTCAAAATGGATTGAGGCGTGGCATGGCGGCGAGGTCAAGCCTCAAGCCTTACACGCTACGGTGAGGACGTAGCATTTTTTAGGGCGTGACATAAGGCGGCAAATTTCTATGTCGTATATAGAATTATATATATATATACATATATGTTTTCTATATAATAAGATAATGATATGAAGAAATATATATTCATATTAGAAAAGAAAATTCATATAGATTATTATTATAAAAATAGTCTTTGATTAAATATTTGAAATATAACTTAGAAAGGTATTTTAAAATTTTGTTCTAATCATGAGCCCATGACGTTTATGAATTTGTGAAATTGTGAGTGATGTGATTAGATAAATCTACAAAAGTGTAAATAAAAGTGTAAAAACACAAAAGCTAAAAAAAAATAAAACGTCTTGTAAAAAAACGCACGCCACGGCCCGCCATGACGCACCTAAAGACGCCATGGCGTGAGTCACGCCTTACAAAAACGTTATTGGCCTTTTCATAACAATGGAGATGTGTCTTGCGCCATGGTGAGCCTTTTTGAACACTGATTATAACTAATACTTCTTGATCCCTACTATAATTGCATAATTTCCATTCAGGGATGTCCTATTGATTGTTGTCAAAAATTCAAGCTATTATTACCTACTCCTTCGTCACCTCAAGAACTGCAACATTTGACTTTGCACATACTTTAATAAGAGGCTTTGATTGATGATTAAATACCTAAAATACCCCTTAACAGACCAAAATTGAAAAAACTTGTGAAACAAAAACACTCTTGCCAATATCTTGTAACGATACTTAATGGGCATATAGGTAAAATTGAAGAAAAGGAACTCTTGCATTGTTGGAACAGAGGAATATTTGTCAATTGTCATAATTAAATGGATGGTCTTGTTTTTGGTTCACATGATTCCTCTTACTTGTGGAGTCAAATGTCAAAACTATAATGGGATCTAGAAACACCAACTAATTCCCCATCCCTAATCCTACCAAAAAAATTGAATGATCAATAAAATCCCATCGAGTTTATGCAATTTGATTCCAAGATTTTGAATCAACATGAGAAAAATCCATAGTAGTCAAAGCTTGCACCATGACACATTCCTTTATGATTCTTAGATCTATTTATTCTGAAATATTACATACACCACATGAAGCCTCGCTTTTAGGTTGGCCATTTGATGTTTCCCTCACACTTCACATTTGCTGCCATCAAAACCCAAATTAGGTTTTAAGGGGTAGCCTTAACACTCCTTGTAAGCAATTTCAGTATAATATTGGAGAAACATTGTCGCTCAAAAATTTAAGAAGTCTAGTCTCACATTAATGATTAAAAACCTTCTTTCAAATAAGAAACTATATAAAGACAAGCAAGTAATAAATCAATAGTAATCTGCTCAAGTTGCAAAACTACTATTTGTCCAAAGAATGTATCATTGTTGACTCATCTTACTTTCAAACGATCAACCAAAAATTTTCTCATGTTGTTTACGCTCTTTTCATATGCATGCTTCTTTTTCCATATTACCCACTCGATATGCCCCATAAGAACCCTGCCTGCCATTAGTTTTCTTCTCCATCTATAATTCAATTCTACATAACAAAAGTGACAGCTTATAATAGCTTATGACTTATATCCATCAAGCTTAATAAATCCCCTCTCTGATGCTCAATAGTGCCTGTCCTAAACCCTGCCAAACTTTATAAAACCTTTAATTAAGCGAATTTAGCACCAACCCTACCTTGGTACTCATTTTTTAAAAAAGTGCCAGTATATGCATACGGCATCTTATCTCAACTCAACTTGTTCACATCCACCCATCATCAGAGCAAAAGCAAATTACTAATGAACATAAAACTGAAAAGTTACCCTTAATGCAGTTCTAGAAAATCATAGCATGGATGAAAAGTCTAGAATGTCCCCTCAATTCGGTTTTGGCAAAAATCACAGATTCAAAAACTCCTAATTTCAATGACCCTCAAATAACAACAGGATTAAGACTACTTTCAGATCTCTTTCCCTGTAGAAGCACTACAAAGCATACATCGCCGGTTTCCCAATTTTTACACTCCTATGAGGTGATATTTAGTAATTTATCTACTAACTACGCTTCAAACACCTCCAATCTTATGTTAGAAACAGGGCATCAAGAAAAATCTAAACATGCAATCAAATATTAAAGCTCATGGATATGGGGTTCCTTGATCAATGTGACCGTTTGAACCTTTGATTGAAGTTAGCTACCACATCACTTATTTGCAACAATAATTTAGACTAAAACTAAAATCAACGAACGGAATACCTGTTGTTGATATTGAGCAAGCTTACGTCTCTGGGTTTTGAGAGAGAGAATTGCTCGATCAACTTCTGTGATCTTCGGCTTCTTTACAAATACATTGCCCATGTGGATCAATTCTGTCAAAATCTCAAAACCTAAATAGCAAAACGAAGTTTGAAAATACAGTTGGTCCGGGCGTAAATTAGGGTTTTGAATCCCTAGGATGCCCGATAGGTTGTCTTGTGGAACAGAGTATCAGTATCGGTGACGTAACCTGTACCGATACATACAACGTGGTCAGATTTCGAGATTAGGGTTTTCTGATTGGCGGTTGATTTTGATTGGAAGCAGATGAAATTTGGGGATCAGAAGCCAAGATTTTGGGTTTTTTAAGATGAATTATGAAGAATAAGGGATCAAAAACGGGTTTTCCCAAGGAGTTGAATTGAATTCAAATTGGATCGCTGTTGTTTATGGATCAAGAATCAAAAAGCTGTAGATAGACTCTTTCTGTCAAAGAGCAATCTCATGTTTGTAATTATCGTTTGACCGGAGCGGGTAACAAATTATCCAAGGAAAATAGAGAATTTAACTTAGATTTACAGCAAATTAAAGTGAATTTAGATAACATAATTAAATATTAGATAAATATTTTATTTTAAATATAAAAAATCTAAAAGATAATTAGGATATCACGAAGTATTTGTTTATTAATGTATATTATTTAAAATTTAAGATTATAAGTAAATTATGCATAAGTACAACTTATTAAAGCTCCATACTTGAATTCGTCTAACTAACTGCAGATAAACATAATCAAATATTGGATAAACATCTCA